CCTTGCTAGGCAAGTGCTCTACCACTGAGCTTCAGCCCTGGCGCCTCCATACATTTTGAGTTAATTTTTGTGTGACTTGAGGCAGAGATCCAAATTTATCCTTTTTCGTATACTTATCTAGTTGTCCTGGAACCATTTGTTGAAAAAAGTATTTTTTTTTTTCCCACTGAGTGGTCTTGTCACCCTTGTTAAACATCAATTGACCATAAATGTATGGGATTATTTCTCAGTTCTGTCATGGGTCTACAATTTTATCCTTATGCTAATGCCACAGTTTATTATTGTAATTGTTTTGAATTTGGAAAGTATGAGTCCTTCACCTTTGTACTTTTTAAAAATTGCTTGACTCTGCAATCCTCTACAAAATTTTAAACCTTTTTTATTTCTGCAGAAATATCTTTGGGACTTTGACAGAATGCATCGAAGCTGTAGATTGTATTGAGAATCATCTCATCAATCTTCTAATCCATGAGCACTGAATGCCTTTCCATTTTATTTAGGACTTCTCTAATATCTCAGAAATATTTTATAGTTTTCAAGGTACAAGTTTTACACTTCAATATATTTATCCCTAAACATTTTATTCTTTTTGATATTAGTGTAAATGGAATTTCATTTTTATTGTTTATTGTTATAATACTAAAACTGATTTTTCTGTTATTTGGGATCATGTAAATTTGTTGTATTACTAACTCCACAAGTTTTGTGTGACTTTTTGGAATTTTTCATGTATAACATCATCTGAGAATAGAATTTCTTCCTCTCAAATTTGTATGACTTTTTAAATGTAATTATTTTTTATACCTTTATTTTTATGTGTTGCTGAGGATCGAACCCAGAACCTTGAACATGCTAGGCAAATGCTCTACTGCTGAACCACAACCCCAGCCCAAATTTTAATTTTTGCAAATAGGTTGGCTCCCACTCATAGTACTATGTTCCTTTATACTTTTTCTTAAAGCTGTAAGCTATTATTTTCTGAAGAAATTTTGCTTTGGTTACTCGATGTTAAGTCCTTTACTTGAGCTTTCTGGGGCCATTTACAAAAGATTTTGGGCTACAAATCTTCAAACTATTTCAAATTTGTAGAGCAGAATACTCTGCTAGAGAACCCAAAAGACTCGAGATAAACAAATTTCTATTTGACACCTATCTTTGGGTGCATCCATTTTTGCTTTTTGTTGTTGGGACCATGAAAATTAATGCTCATGTTTAGTAGGTACTTCAAAAGCATTCTCAAGGTGAAAGCTGGCTTCCTGGTATGTTGTTTCTCTTTTGGTCTTAATACTACTTTTTTTGATCTTTTCCCCAGCAAGTTGTTCAGGTTCATCATCCCTACGGACAAACTGAAACATCTATTCCCTCAATGTGATTATTTTAGTTGTGAAGTTTCAGCTAAACTTCTATACTACACTGCACTTCCGTTTTTTATGCGTTCGGCTTCTTCTTTAAAGAACAAGATACTTTGAGCAAAGTACCGTTTAGCTCATAGTCATTTCTGTACAAAAAATATTTTATTGACAGCCTATAAAGTGCCAAGGAATCATCTAATCATTAGATTCTTTCTAGAGCTTACATTCTGGGGTGCGGTTGCAGAGGAACCATTACATATAAGATGGATAATACGGAATTTCCCGTTATGTACCGGACAGTGGTGGTGCTGTTGGTGTATTACATAAATTATCAAGAAAAAGCACTTTTATAGAAGTGACATTTGAGATCTACAGGAAAGGCAGAAGCCATATCTGGGGAAAGACCATCTGAGGGAAAGAGACGAACAAGGACAAAGTCCAGTGTCCAGGTCTCAATAGAGGTCAGGCTGAAGGAGTTGGGCTCATGGTGGGGCAAACGAATGATTAATTATGGGACAGTGTGGGAAAGTTTCATTTATAGCCTTGTACATTTCCTGTTAATATTTGGCCTTTATTCTGCATGATGGGAATTTTAGGTTTGGAGGAAAGCCATTACACAACCAGACATGCTCATGTTGGGTGTTAGGTGTAGACTTGCTGCAAAGTAGTAAGACTACTCGGAAGGCTACTGAAATAACCCAATTAAGAGATGGTGGTGCTTTACACCATGGTTATAGCAGTATGGTGAACCAGTGGATTCCAAATAAAAAATTTTACGTTAAAACCAAGAAGACCGCTATTAATTTTGACTAGGAGATTAAAAGCCACGATGCCTAGGTTTGGGGCCAGTTCAACTGTTTACATTCACTCAGGTTCTATAAGAGGAGGTAGGTGAGCATCTCTGCGTAGAAATCTGGCCACTTCTAGATGACTTTGAGATAGCCACATGCCTAAGAAACTGTTGAGTTCAGAAGTTTCGGAAAATCAGCAGACTGTCAAATTTGTGAAAGTGAATTTTTTTCCCCATAAAACCATTCTTTGTATTAATTAAAAAATAGAGCGTTATTAAAATCTCATTAAGAAATAGCATGCAGGTTTGGAAGATATAATTTATGACAATGAGACCTTAGTGAAAGCAATCCAAGTAAAATAATTATGAAACACTATGCATCTGAATTAATAAAATTCTTAAAAATATAAGGCTTGGAAAGTTTAAGTTAGAAGTAATAATGCAAATAGTGATCACTGTGTTCTAACAGCTAACTTCACATGCATAGCGCCTCCAGGGAACTTTTTGATCTTAACATTTTTTGTTGTGGTGGTGGACTGTTGTCTTAAAACCCTGTTTCTAAACACCTTTACCTCCCCTCCCCCCATTACATTGGGAAAGCACAAGAAAAGCTTTAACAATGCCTTGGTACACTTAATGAAATCTGGGTTCAATCTATCTTGCAGATAGATCTTTGGAACTGGTTTTTTAATACTTAACCACTGGTTGAATTATGTGTAGCAAAAATAAATTCCCAATTTTTATCATGCATGGAACCATCTGGAGAGCTTTTTAATACAAGCTACTGGGTTCTACCTCACAGTTTAAGTACAACTGGGACAAGACCCAATAATTTCACAAATGATGCTGGTATTGGTTCTGAGTCACTTTAAAAACCATCATATTAGTTCTTCATAGACCAGTCTATTACTACTGTTTTAATGTTCAAAATTGAGCTCACACACAGTATTAAAGTTTAAGTGTGGACTTCATGTTCACTGGAATTACCAAGTAAGACCAACTTGTCTTTAAACACAGATTTTAATGATAACAATTCCTTTAAGCTCAATTAACTTCAGCTATTACAAGTCTTATGCAGATGTCACTATTAAGACAACATTAGTGACTTGCACTGGGTTCCTCATAGAAGACAAATTCACTTATAAGTGTAATCAACAATCATTTAACAGTTTTGTTATGTTAACACAAAACATGGCTAGTTTGAGTTACACCCCCCCATCACTAACACAGCATGATCAGTATACTTCAAACTATTTAAAAAAAAAAAAAGTGAGTGTTTCACTACCCCTGAGACCACTATGTTAACTGTGGTTCATACTTTTAAATGTGAGTACACCCACACAAGGAAAACAAACTAATCATTTATTTAAAAAAAAAAATCTGATTATCACATTGCAAATCTTCCCAGGGAAAAGAGTGAATCACTTAACATGTAAATTTACCATTAACAGGTCAACTGGACTCTTAAGAGAAATTTTAAGAATTTAAGAAATTAAAGTTTATGCATTAAAAGATACAGTAAATACATAGAAATGGTCCAAATCAGTATTAAATCTGCTAATATTCATTTCAGTCCTACACATGGCACTAGTAATGTTGAATTACTGGTTTGGATGGGGGAAAAAAAGAAATTCTTTTATTCTTTTAAAAGTTCCATCGTAGATGATCCCAAGTCTAGTGTCCATACATTCAAAAATGTTGGTTTTCCAGGTACTTTAAATTACTGTTCTCTTAAACCTGGAGAAGCCTTTATGGCTTATTCCCTTAGAAGCGACATACGAAATATTGTATAAAGCATTAAGTCAAAGATAAAGAGAACTGGACATATCCACTAGTTATCATTACAATCAATGGTTTAAGTCATCTCTGTAAATACTTAAGGTTGTTCTAGGCTAAAAAAGATCATTGTGAAAGCCCATTTAAGATCCACTGCTTACAAAAATTTTATTAGTGTTTTGGCTTTCAATAAATATGCCTACTAAAGCTGTTATTTTTGAGAGCACAGGAGTTTCAGAAATAATTATTTTTTCAAGAACAGAGCCAAAAAGCAGTATTTCTTACCTTGTGGAGCAGTTACTAGTTTCTTATTCATAATTTGAATCCAAAAGTTTTAACAGCATGACATCTACCCTGAAGAACCCACAATTTTTAAAGCAAAAGTTAAAATAAAAAAAATTCACTCATTGGAAAAAATTGTATAGCTGGATTGACACTTCCCAATGAAATGCTTATTACAGAATTAACAAAGCCAGAATATCTTCAGAAGGCATGCATTTCACTTCCAGTTTAGATAAGAACCTTAAGTCAATAAATCACGTCCAAACTACATATTAAACCGTTTATAAAAAATTAAGCATTAACATTTATTTCTAGCTTTCCACCTGTGTGTGCAGACAAGGAATAAGACTTGCACACAAGTGTAAGCAGTGCAAAAAATGTGGAAGTGGAGATGTCACGTGCTAGAAATACAGGACTTTAATAAAGCAATGGTTAAAATGAAATAACTAAGAAAGCATAACTACAGGATCAGAATTAGGAAGGGTGAAGAATGGTAATGCCCTTGTTACCAAAGAAGTTTAGTGGCACAGATAGCACTTGTCAAACAAAAAATCCAATAGCATTGACTTTTATTCGTTCATGTTAAGTCACCTGAAATGATATTTGTTGCATTTAAATGCTCATTAATGTAAATGGCTGAACAAATCCATTTCAATGGATACTCAATATCCCAGTTAAGTCACTTCAACACAGCCTCATGACAACTCCCACACCAAAACAGTACTTTATTTTGTAAATTTTGACCCATTATTACTCCCATGTTTTTTTTAAGCTGTCAAGTGTACACGGTGAAGAGAAATTTGTTAAGATTGGTGATGCACCTGGAAAATAAATTTCTTAAACTCCATATACACGTTTCAAAACTGCTGGGTCCCAAGTCCATTTATGAACTCCAGGGCTGCCAGTATCATGTGCAGCATATTAAAACTACACTATTTGAATAGCTTAATTCTGCATAAATCAGGTCAAGCAATGTGTCAACCTGTTAACAGACTGTGCACTTTAACTGAACATGGCAAAATATTCACTCTTTTGAACTTTACATCATCATTTGATGTCAAACAATGAAGCAAACCCCAACAGTATATACAAAAACAGCTTTGCATTTACAAAAAGATTGTTTCCCATACTGATTAATCCAGGCAGCTAACTCATTGGTTTATGCAACTTTATTGAAGAAAAATAAATCAATTACTAGCAGAGCTATTAGTTGATCACTCATCCATTGACAACTTGCATCATTTATTCAGTGCTATATTAAACAGTGTATTGGAAGATAGATTAACTAATAGCTCCATGCCTCCTAACAATTTAAATGAAAATTACAAAATGTTTTGAGACTCTGTTTTGGAATACAAAGGGTGTTTGACTTCCAATTTCCATTCTCTGTAGAACAAGAACATGTCATTCCTTTATTGACATGCATAAAATACATTACGTTTTCTGTTCTGTTGATGCTATAAATTCAATACCAATTCTCCAGCCACATCAGTTATGAGCATAAAGTATAACATGTAACCTCAAATCTCTAACAGTGGAAGGTTTAAACAAAATGGATGCTGTTAGAATAATGCTGCTTCCTTTGATGTGACAACTGAGCATCCATCTCCCTCCCCCTCAGATGATTTCTTCAGCATGTTAGAGCAGTGAGGAATGGTTTAGTCTCATAACCAAGTTAGAGTGAAGACATTGGCCACATAATACACATGCTCCATTTTTTAAAAAAATTCTGAATCTTGGGCAACTGTTCTCTTGTAACTACTTTACAGTTTCTAAAAGCAGTTATTGTCCAAAGCTGGAAGAACTTAAGTCTTCTCAGATGAGCATGTGAATGAATGGAGGGAGGTAAACAAAAAATAAAATTAAAAAAGATGAGGTCTGATAGGGGAGCAGCCGGATAAGAAAAATCAAAAAAGGAACAGTAATTTAAAGTTTATTCCAGCTATAATGCAGGTTATTCTGACTTTAAGGTAGCATCACATGGCATACTTCTGAGTCCATTCCCGAGATATTCTGTTGTACCTATAAGTAAAGAAAAAGTTACTTTAATAAGTTAAAGGAAAAGATTACTGTTTTTAAAAGGAAAAGATTTCTATTTTACCTACAGACTTATTATAAAGCCATCTGTAATGGCTATGATTAGAATAAAACCAACAAGGGAAAAATAGCACTGGCACCCAAAACAATATGGGAAATGAGAACTGAATGCTTTCAAAGCAGTATTGTTTTAATAAACGTAGGAGGGCTAACAAAAACTAAAGACTTTTTTTCCATCACTGAGCTAATGGTCTATCAGAAATTCTAAAAATTGGTTATCATTACAACAATTTTTAAAAAAAAAATATTTATTTTTTAGTTACAGGTGGACACAATATCTTTGTTTTACTTTATGTGGTGCTGAGGATCAAACCCAGTGCTTCACACACACTAAGCTAGCACTCTACCTCTGAGTCGAAACTCTAGCCCATTACAACAGATTTTAACGGAGAAATTGTTTTAGTTCACAGATGTTTGTAACATAGAATACATATTCTGTACATCAACAAAAAGTTCCAAAGCTAGAACCAAACATGTACTATCACTAAAAAATTGTTACCTGAAACCTAGACCTGAGAAGTTACTTGGGCATGGGTATAACCATAAGAGAAATCTTTGAAACATAGGCAGAATAGATAGTGGGCAGGCTGATAAAGAACTTTAAGAGTGGATGGGTATAAGTGGTTGTGCTAATCAGTACCCATATGTGTTACTTTTAAAAATTCTGGCGATTGGTGCTACTAAGCCCAAGTGAGACCTGCCAAACTGGACATCTTTGTTTAAAAAAAAAAAAAGTTCCACAGATAATTCACCTGTGAACTAGGGTTACTGCTGAGGAAGACTGTTAATATTAACACACACTATTAATCTCTCTACAGATAACAATCATGCCAGAGGCTACTTACCAACAAAATATAGTGATAACCTTAAAAAATATACATCAAAAGGCACAGAACTTTTAGACTTATATATTTAATTTTTAAAAGATTACTAGCTTCATTTAAACTAAGAACTAAATTCAACTATTTTTCAATACTTAAACAGATAAAAGTTTTTTCTACCCAATTCCATTATGCTACTAAAGAGATATTCTCTTCAAAAGCTAGCACTTTAAATCAAAGGCTTTAGTTTAGCATACAGGGAGCCACAAAATACAGCTGACATTAATGCATGCTTGTCAGTAATGAACATTTAAATTAGATGCTTAGGCTTTCAAGTGTTTTTCCCTTATAATCCTACCTCCTGGCAAAATTTGAATAAAATCACCACATTCCATATACTACTGGTACATTTTCAAGCTAAAAATTTAACACCATGGTAGTTTGATACTCTTAAACTTCTACTTCTTAACTAATGCTATGTAACTGCTTTGCCATGCAAGAATATTTTCAAACAGTACTGACTATGAGGTATACTTTCACGCTAAAGAGAGCTCAAGCAGTTAAATGTACAGTTTTCAGAAAACTGCCACATCTGTTACCTTTTGTTAGTTAATACAGTGCCTTAAAGCATGCAGCACTCAAGTGCTGGCAGTTCCATGAATAAGCGCACCATAGAGTGCAGATCCTCTTACCCTACAACATAGCGTATTTCTCTGTCCACTCTCTTGCTAACCTATTGTACCTAATTGAACAAGTACACTTAGCATTAATCATAACATACAACAGTTACAATGGTTAAGTTGAACACAAACATAATTCAAATATCTGAGAAATTTAGAATCAATTTTTACAACAGTACTAATATAATTTTATTAAAACAAAACAAAAAAACTACACCTGGGTGAAGAAAATGTGATTTCTCCCCTCAAACTTGAGAGTAAAATGACAAAAGTGCTTAATGTATTAGAAAAAGAAAACCTGAAGGGGTTATTCATTGTCACATATACTGAAATCTGGGTTTTTAAAAAACAACACATTTTTAATAACTAGATTGGGGCACATTTTAATCATTATCTTACCAGAAAACAAGCATCAAGTCTTCCTGCAAGCGCCACAACTTACAACAGAATATAAGCCTGTCTCATTAAGAACCTTTTAATAGCTTTCCTAATACTATTGCATACTTACTTATCTCTGTCTGTTTTATAGATCCGTGCAATCTCTGGCACTAAAGGGTCATCTGGGTTTGGATCACATAGCAGTGAACAAATGGATAAAAGAACTGTAAAGAAAATAAATGCATGTTACATAATAGCATCAGGAGTTTGAATAATTGTCAACAGAACTTTAGAATCTGCACTACAAACTTCATTTCCTCAAAGGTTTTTGTCTCCTTGTCTCTCTATAAGGTAGAGACCACATTCCCAAGAGTATTGGTAAAATAATGCCAAGCTCTCATGGACAAAGTGAGTCTTCACAGTTCTAGTTATTTTTTTTTAAAATTTATTTATTTATTTTTTAGTTTTCGGCAGACTCAACATCTTTCTTTGTATGTGGTGCTGAGGATCGAACCCGGGCTGCATGCATTCCAGGCGAGTGCGCTACCGCTTGAGCCATATCCCCAGCCCCACAGCTCTAGTTATTACTTGACCTTTTAACATACCAACTTAGTAGATGATAGCACTATGGACCATAGATGTCATTCATTTTGAGTACCTGTTATGTGCCAGTCAGTAGACAGGTATTGTTATGAGACTATAAGATCAAAATGCTTAAAGCAGCAGCATGAGAAAAAATTAACCATCATGTAAATGAAAAATTTTTGTTGACAGAAGGAAATACAATTTATTTCAAATCCAAATGCATGGGGGAGCATATAAAACTACACAATAGAGAGTACCCAGCTACATAGTAATTTACAATATTAAATTACGACTGATGTGATAAAATAATAATTTAGCAAATAAGAATGCCAAAAAAGCAAGTCACTAAAAGACAAACCACCACACCACCAATTCAAATTGCATTTATAAAAAAAGTTTTCAGCATCAGAATACATCTCAGATGGGGCTAGGGTTGTGGCTCGGGTTGTGGCTCAGTTGTAGAGCGCTTGGCTCGCATGTTCAAAGGCACTGGGTTTGATCCTCAGCACCACATAAAAAAAATAATGTTATTAAGTCCAATTATAACTAAAAACTTGAAAAGAATACATCCCAGCAGTAGTGACTCAACTGGAATTTGTCACTTAAAATCCATGTATTTTTTTTTGTCCTCCCTTCAAATACACCTATTTCACTTTGCACTTACCAAACTTATGGTTTATTCATAAAAAGTTAAGATGTACGACTATCTTAAAATATGTTAAAGTCATAATTAGTAACATTAAAAACCTAATTCTATGTACCTAAGGATGGCAAGTTAACACCCCAAACTGAAACTAAACTAAAAAGACATACTTTCTTCCCTCTCTTAAGTTTTGTGCATAGGTGATTTTTGTGGGGTAAAAGAGATATAAAATGCTTCCAGAGTCACTCAAAAAAGAAACAACTTAAAACCAAAACCACTCTATTGTCACATTCCTGCAGTATGGACAACCTGTTAAAGATATGTCACATAATAAACTTCCTACTCAAAGTAGATCCATGGGCTGGGGATGTGGCTCAAGCGGTAGCGCGCTAGCGTGCGGCCCGGGTTTGATCCTCAGCACCACATACCAACAAAGATGTTGTGTCCGCCGAGAACTAAAAATAAATATTAAAAATTCTCTCTCTCCTCTCTTACTCTCTCTTTAAAAAAAACAAAAAACAAAGTAGATCCAAACTGATCCAGAGACTTTCCCAAGATCCCACGGTTTTAGACTAACAAATCAAGGTTCCATAACATGTGACTAGAAATTTATTTAAAGGGAACTTATTAAGCAACTTTTCAAACAATCTCTTTAACCAACACTGATAAAAGAGTAAAAAATAATGTAAGTCTAATCCCTTCTAAACTTATAATCACAATGTTGAAATAAAAATACTCAGGTAAGGAGATTTAAGGATTAAACTCCCAGTAATTATTAGAACATCAGAGTAGCTCAAGTTTATTATACTACAAGTATTTTACCTTTAGAAATAGTTAAAGCAGGAGACCATTGTGATCTTAGAATATCAAGACAAATGCTGCCATTACTGTTAATATTTGGATGATAAATTCTTGTTGTAAATGCAACCTAAAACAAACAAAAAAACCTAAGTATTTTATCCAAATAAAAACAAGCATTCTGAACTTAAAACTTTAAAAGGCTTAAAATATTTCAAAGTGAATCAATACAACTTAATTTATGTACATAAAATTACCAAAAATTATCAAAACTGACTTTTACATTCTGACCATGAACCCCAAGTGATTCCTTCTTTTAATCAAAATTAAAAATATAACTTTGGGGCAAAAAATTTCATTGCTGAAAAGTTCTGAAGATTAACCGTTTTTAATTTATTATTGAGTAGTGGAGATTTAACCTAGGGGCAACTTGCCACTGAACTATATCCCCAGCCTTTTATTTTGAGACATGTCAAATTGCTTAGGGCCTTGCTGAGTTACTGTGGCAGGCTTTGAACTTGTAATCCTACTATCTCAGACTCCTGAGCTCCTAAGATTACAGGTGCATACCACTGAGCCCTACTGTTTAACTTTGATGTTACCATGTTAAGTGTAAAGGAACACAAAGATATTTAATACTCATTAAAATATAAGGTTTTGGTATAACCAAAACTTACAGCTCATTTAAAATCAGTGATACATGTACATATTGAACTTTGCATTCACTGTACATAATAAAAATTTGAATATCACAGAGATATTTCAGAAGAATTGTACCACTGTTTATCTTTAAGCAACTCTTAGTCACATAGTGAAACCAAAGTAATGTGAAATTGCAATGCATTATGTGCACATATGAAATTGAATCTGTTTTTACAAGCCAATAGGATCAATAATCCAAATCAGTGTATCAAGGAAACACTTCCACATGGTATATTTGAATCTGCAATATTAATGACAAAGCAAATTGTATACCCATTTATAAAGTTCAAATCACTCCAGCTTTTTAAACTAAACACCATCTATTATATTCAACTTTAATTATTCTTATTCAAGCTCAGCCTCAATCACATAGAACTCTATTTCCATGAATGCTCGATTCCTCTAAAACAAAGCATAAATCTTTATTAGGGGAAAATACTTGCCTTAGGTGGTTTGAAGGGGTAGTCTGTAGGAAAATGAATTGTCAAAAAGAATACACCACCTTGATATGGGCTGTCATTCTGTGAAGAGAAAAACATGCTTAAAATTAAAAAAAAATTTAAATAATATTAAATAATACTACCTATTCTTTACATAGAAATGAAATCTAAATTATTCCAAAAAAACTCAGTTCATAGTAATAAAAAATATAAAATCAAAATTACTATATAGTGAATCCTATTTAAATCCCATTTTACAAATTTCCAGAGTATTGGGAAAAGGTATCCAGAAACACTAATGTTCTAGATCCAAATTCTCATAAATGAAAAAGTACACTTAACAATAATAAAGCTTACAAACAGTATCATGTACTGGTCAGACTACAGAAATTAGAAAGCAAAATGTTAAGTGTGTTAAAAAAGCAGACAAAAACAATTTTTTTTTTTTTAAAATTTGAGACATGGTCTCATCAAGTTGTCCAGGCTGACCTCAAATTTCCCACCTCAGCCTCCTGAGTCCCTGGAATTATGGGCATACACCAACCAACACACTTTTATCAGGCAAATAAAAACTTTCATAGATCCAACACTTTTAGAATATAGCTTATCAATTCCAACTCCTCAGAAAAATAATTATTAACTCCCCACTACACATTAGATATGTGAAAAGATCACAGAAAATGATTTTTTAAAATCTTGACAGACTTAAAATTCTGTTACCAAGACCCGTAAAGTACACATAATAAAATGTTATAGATATGAAATGTGAATGAAATACACAGGGGGTTCAAAAGAAAGAAGTTAATTATTGGTGAAGAATCAGGTTCAAAGAAATGTATAACTCCCGCTGGGCACAATGGTGCATGCCTATAATTCCAGTGACTTGGCAAGCTGAGGCAGGAGGATCCAAAGTTTGTGGTCAGCCTCAGCAACTTAGTGAAACCGTGTTTCAAAAATGGCTTGGTGACAGAATGCGCCTGCGTTCAATACCCAATACCACTACCAAAAAAAACAAAAAACAAAAAAAACAAAAAACAAAACAAAAAAACAGAAAGAAAGAAAGAAAATTGGACAACCA